ACTCACTCTGGGCGACTCTGTAGGCTGAACCCAATTCCCTGCCTTGTCCGTTGATTATCGATCGATTATGTGCCATCAGGCCAATGTTGACTCTTAGCGGCCACATAGATCTTCTCCAGGGTCCTCTGTCCCTGACCTGATCCTTCATGCATCTGATGCCACTGAATCTGAGTCCATCCACATTGCTGCTGGTCATCCTCTGCATACAGCCCCAAATACCCCTTTTTTGTATTCCAATAAGTTATTTGTTTATGAATCCAGTAAGTTTATTTGTTGACAGTGAAACAAGCCAACCTGGTATGTGGTTCATAAGAATTTCCTTTTCCTGTTAGCATTTTACTTTTTTTTTTTTTGGCTATTTTTATCAACATGAAATTGTGAATTGTAAACAATAGTAGATTTATTAAAGAGCATAACCCTTTTTTATTGTAGAGATTGTTGAATTCGCCAGTGAAAATAAACATTAAAAAATGGATGGTCATATCAGGGTCCAAAGCTGTCACAAGAACCCTAGAGGAGCAATGAAAAAGGTACAACCCTGTTCTTAAGAATGTTGTTTCGCCTTGCCTGCTTTTTTACTGTTTTTAAGTACGACAGGGGCTTTCTTTTTTCTTTATTTCATTAAGAAAAAATATTTCAATTTGGCAAGAAGACTGCTGTATAAGGTTTAGTAAGCCCCACGGTGTGTAAGGTTGGCCTTGAAAAAGTAAGTTTAAAGTTGGATTCAGTGGGTTTTTAAATAAAGTTTAAATCAGTTTTAAAGCATGCTTGAGAGACAGATAGTTTTGTGCTGGAAAGTAGCAATATACATAACTGACAGCAACTTTCAATAACCAAGTAGGTCTGTTGCTGATTGGCAATTTGTTCTGGATTTATTTTCCTAAACAGTCTTCTAGCACTCTTGTAATTAAATCTTCTGTGGACTGTGCTTAGTCTTTATTTGCTTTGTGTATCCTGTTTTTGCTGCCTTAGGAAAGATTCATTGGACATGTTTCTCCTAAGGATTTTGGATGGGAGAGCAGTTTTGTCTTTTGCCTCCTCCTTGTGGGTTGTCTACCATTCTGAGGGTCTTTATGTTTTTACAGTCACCAACCTCTGATTATCAGGAATTCATGTTGTCTATCTCTGCAGTTGCTCCTCATATCCTCTTCCCATCAAGAGTTGTTGTTGCTGCTTCTTGCATGCTCTTGGGCGTTCAGAGAAGCTGTGCGTCCAACCTTTGACTTTATAGAGGCATGTCTTCATTTGATACAGGTGGAGGCCCTCCTCCTATTGAGAACTCTCTTTGTAGTTCTTGACCAAGTCAATTCAGAGCCAGGCAGATACTTCCTCTATGGACATTTGGAAACAATTTGGCCATATGACAATCTCAACATCATTTTTTTTTCTGGGTTGAATATGAACTCATTGTCTTCCTAGAGATACAAGTTCTTGTCTCAGTCCTTCTTTGGTACACTCATCCAGTGTCTGCTGGAATGGGCAGTTATAAGAAAAAATTGAATTAAATAAATCCTTCAAATCAAATCCTGTGGAACACCTGTCTTGAGATACAGCAAGCCCCCAGTCTCCTAGCCTTCCGGGAGGTTTTAAAAAGCTGATTCTTCCCCTTAATTTAGTTTGAGCATCAGGAGGCATCTTAAGGCTCCTAGGCAAAATAATGGTTTCTACAGAATTCTGAGTTAAAAAAAAATAGAAAGTTGCAGAGAAATGTTACTGCTGTTGCTTTTAAACATGCACTTCTTTGCTCTATTTATTTTAGCATTCCATATTCTGTGTGCCAGTTCTCAGCAGTAGGACGTTTCAGGATACAGACCCGCCCAATATAGGGAAAAGTTTATGTTTCAGATTTCAGTTTCCAGGAAGACTGGAAATCTAGGACTACATAAGCATGCTGAGTTCTAACGGGTTGTTTGTTCACAAAGAGAAGTTATTGCTTAGTCCATTTGATCAGATATTTCCTGCTCAGATGAACAAAGAAGCAACTTTTCTATAACTTTGTGAATCCATTTTTTAATACAGAATCTAGTAGCAAATTGTTTGTAATTTGCTCTAGGTTGGCTTTAAGAATTAGTCGGATTACCTGCATGTAATTACTGCCCCTTTTCATGTGTATCACACACTGCATGCATGTAAAAGGGGGTGGGGCTTTGATCGCCCGGTGGTGTGTGCCATTTTGAAGCAGGTGACCTTTGCTGTGGACATCCCCTGGAATGAGGCTGATCTCCTTCAGTCATAATAGTTTTATTTCCAATTCACTTATTTGTTTCTGTTCCTTTTTTAAAAACAGAACTTCAGTGAATCTTCCCTCTCTCCTATGATGGCCTTATTGCAAAGTCAAAAACAACTATGCACAATATCGACAGAAGAGCTGACAGAAGAACAAGAAAATTTCAATGAGGTTTGGCTTTCTGTGCAGACATGTGTGTTTAAATTCATAATGATATTAATTATACACTTCATTGTGCTCTTCACCTGTCCCTTCGGTGAGGAAGAATGAGAGCCCTCACTTCATCACACTTACCATCTTTTACCTTTATTTTTTATGTGTTGTTGATTTTAGTGTAATTTCTTTGTTTGGTTGTTGGGAGCAGCCCAGAGTCATTGAGAGTCTGGTGGCATGCAAGATGATGATGATGATGATGATGATGATGATGATGATGATGATGATGATGATGATGATTGGTCGCAGGCCAAATGTTGATCTGTTGGTTGTAACAGGAATTGATCTGCCAGATTGTCACCTGAGCCTGACATTGGGGGCTGAGAGAGAGTGACTGGCCCAAAGTCACCCAGCCGGCATACTACTACTACTACTATTATTATTATTATTATTATTACTATTACTATTATTATTATTTTCATATAAACTTGCTCCTTAAGCATTAGAGAAAAAGTATTAGCAATGGATACTCAGGCTGTTTTCATACAGTTCATGAGAGTTTTCATATAATTCA